CTATTCTCCTCTCGGGATATTGGGCACACACGCACACATGCCCAGCGTGAGTTTAAGCCACTGGGTCCGGGACTTGAACTGCAGTTGACTACGTGGGAGTCCAGTGACATATAGCCATTATGCTAACTGCTGGTCCCTCTTTATCAGAATTTTGAAAAATTAAAGAATATATCTCTCTTGGGAACCAGCAGTTAGCGTAATGGCTATGTCGCTGGACTCCCACGTAGTCGACCGTGGTTCGCGTCCCGGCCCCGGTGGCTTAAAATTCACGCCGGGCGCGTGTGCGTACGTGCCCAAGATCCCGAGAGGAGAATGGAGGAGAAGGGATTGCGGCGTGACCACCCCCCCTGGGGGGTGATTTCTTGCTTTCTGTCTGTCTGTCTGGCGAGCGCACGCGCCCTATAGCGAAAAAACCTCTCAAAAAAAAAAAAAAAAAAAAAGAATATATCTCTCTTCTGGTATGCAATTAACTACTGCATAGTTCATTAATATTGTACATTTATAAAAAGTTGTACAGTTTTATAAATCTGTAGTCTATAATAAAAGCATAAATATGCCAATGGAAATACAAAATCGAATCTTTGACTGATATGTACAATCCAAGATAACAATTTGGTTTGGAATTTCAAAGATATGATATGAGCTTTATTAAAGGGTAGGGATACATATTAAGAAAAAAATGGTAATTCCAATTGCTTTAAAATTAACCTTAGAAGATAAGTAACTTTTGGCATCCAGAGGTTTGTTCCCTGTTCTTTTAAATTATGTATGTGTTTGTTTCTTAAAAATTTAGGTCATTTGTTTGCCATGCGGACTAAAGGATTTAGACATTTTAGAAACATAACATGATTTATTTAGTTTGTTTGGAAAACAACCGATAAGGTGTTATTATTATTTTTTTTTGAGAATTTTTTGCTATAGGGCGTGTGCACTTGCCAGAGAGCCAGGGAGAGACCGAGAGAGACAGAGAGACAGAAAGAGAGAAGTCACCCCCCGGGGGGATGGCCACGCCACAATCCTTTCTCCTCCATTCTCCTCTCAGGATCTTGGGCACACACGCACACGCGCCCAGCGTGAGTTTTAGCCACCAGGTCCAGGACTTGAACCATGGTTGACTACATGGGAGTTCAGCGACATAGCCATTACCCTAACTGCTGGTCCCTGTAATGTGTTAATTTTTCATGTTATTTGAGACATAAGTCTGAAAGTATTTTTATCTCAAATTGCGTATTTCAATGCCATTGTTCCATAGTATCATATAATGTAACAAACGGCTGATGTGCTATGAACTTTGCTGAATAAGCTAATTTTTAAATTTAATATGTGAAATAATATTTGTCTCCTTTACTCCCTGTTTCCTATGTCTCTTTTGTCTCCTGCGATTTGCTCATTTGCAGACTTTCAAGTGGGACTCATGATTTGAATTGAAAAATATACTGTGTGTTGCTTACATTTATCTCCATATCAGTCAATTTTGTTACTTGCACAAAACAGTGCACTTAATTCTTTACCTCTGATCAATTACAGTAAAGAGCTCCTGCTATAGTAAAATATCAATAGTCAAAATAGAGCTTTCAGTGGGAGGGACTTACTATTCTTTATAGAAGCCAAAGTGCATACTTCAGATCAGTTTAAAAACACCTAATGTTCAACAAGTTACCATTACAATAAAATTCTAGCAGACATTCAATCTTTTGAGAGTATAATTTTATTGAAATTTCTGTTTTTTCTTTATAATATAGTTTGATCTTGAAAGTCTATTTTCATTAAATTTGTTACAGTAGTATTTTATGTTTTATGGAGTATATAATAGAAATTTTTTTTATTGGATCAGCAGATGGCATAACTGGACACCCACATAGTTGATCTAGGTTAGAGTCCTGCACCCAGACTGGGTGGCTTGAAACTCACTTCGAGTGTGTGTACACGTGTGCCCAAAATCTACAGAGGAAAAGGGATTGTGGCATGGCCATCCTCCCTGGGGGAGTGTGATTTCTTGCTTTCTGACTCTCTGTCTCTTCTGGAGAATGCACATGCCCTATAGCAAAAATTTCTCTAAAAACAAGACAAAACTATTTTATGACATTGATATTAGAAGAGGGCTTGGCCATTCTTTTGCAGTTGTTTTCATTTTACTTGTCATGTTCCTCAAAGCTGAAGCCACAGCTTATCTTTTGAACATATTATTGACAATATACAGCAATTAAAATAGCATGACAAAATCAGATCTTGATCCAGGTTGTGTATTAAAATCAGAACCCTGAATAAATCCTGAAATCAGGGGCCCACTTCAGACTTTCACTGTCTTAGTTTCTGGAATCTAGAAGTCCAAAATCAAGATATCAGCAGGACCACACTCTCTCTGAATTCTAGGTGGGATTCGTTGTCTCTCTGTAGTTTCTGTTGGTTGTGGTAATTGTTGGCATTCCTTGGCTCATAGTTGCATAACCCCAGTCTATGCATCCATCTTCATGTGACATTCTTTCCTCATATCTTCACATATTGCAAGGACACTTACCATGTTAAAGAGCCCACCCTACTCTAGTATGACCTCATCTTAACAATTACATGTGCCCATCTATTTCCAAATAGATTCATATCCCTAAGTATCAGATGTTTGGAACTCAATGTACCATATTTGGAGACATAGCTCAGCCATAACATTCAATAACCAGAGTCTCTGAAAGTGATGCTCAGGCACAGGTATGTTTAAGAACATGCCAAGTGATTCTGATGTGTAGTAGGATTGGAAACCATTGTGGGGCTAATGGTACCCTGTCACCGAAGATGCATATTATCCTCATTCTCACTGATAGTATAAAGCCTTGAGCCTCTCTGCTTTTCATATTAAGTTAACCATAACTTGAAAGTAACTTCCTACTGTCCAGTTTCTGATTTTTTTCTTTTCAATTTTTAATGTCTCTTTCTTTAAAAGAACTTTATTTCTCCTACAAATAAGAGAGGCTAAGAGAAAGTTAGAGATAGACAGCACCCCTAACACAGTCATGATGCCACAACCCACGCCCAGCTCCAGCCAGTCTCAGCTTATGGCATGTCTGTGCCAGTGTACTCAGGGAGGTCTCCAGACTCAGATGTGGAACCTTCCCCAGTAGGTCAGCCTTGCACAGCATAGTATTCTATTTCCATGCCACTATCTGGTCCTTAAAGTCTTTTCTTTTAGTATTTGCATCTTTCGCCAAATAAAGACTAATTTATGTATTATTTATTATGTAGAAGTTTACATCTACACTATTAAACATTTCTTAATTCTTGTAAAGGTAGTTCATCAATCCCTATGTCTCTTAATATCTGCAAGTATAAACATCCTGATGCTCAAAGTAGAAACTATTAACAAATGGTTTTACCTTATCTCTTAATGGTAACTCTTTATAATAGCTCATTAGAAGCATTTTATACAGTGTATTTACACATTAATCTAGTGGGAAATGTATAGAGCAGTCAGAAGAGCATGAAGTGGATAGGTGTGTTGACATAAAATAACTTCAGAAAACATGATACTAAATTTACCTGGAACTACCTAATATATATTTCATTAATTTTTCCTTAATACATTTGTATGGTTAATTTGGATGTAGGGGTGATAAGCCTGAGTTATTTGAATCAACAAAATTTACTATAATCTCAAATAATCCATTTCCATGAAATATTATGCCTTAAAATAGGACTAATCTGAACATGTCTGGAGCAATGCCATGTTGAAATAACTGTTTACAACTCCTCTGGTATTATTATGATGGCTAATCACATTATTAATTTACATACTAAATGATCCTTAGTTACTAAGATAAGAGCACATATTTGAAACTTTCTTCAAAATGGTAAGTGTTGGGAACCAGCAGTTAGCATAATGGCTATGTTGCTGGACTCTCACGTAGTTGACTGCGGTTCGCGTCCCAGACCCGGTGGCTTAAAACTCACGCTGGGCGCGTGTGCGTTTGTGCCCAAGATTCCTAGAGGAGAATGGAGGAGAAGGGATTGCGGCGTGACCATCCCCTCTGGGGTGGTGATTTCTCGCTTTCTGTCTCTATGTCTCTGTCTGTCTGGCGAGCGCATGCGCCATATAGCGAAAACCTCTCCAAAAAAAAAAAAAAAATGGTAAGTGTCTACAGTTTATTCCTTCATTCTCTGAATTCTTTGTTGTTTAATGGGTTCTTAGCTGTGTGTGTGTGTGTGTGTGTGTGTGTGTGTGTGTGTGTGTCTGTGTGTGTGTGTGTTTTTGCCACCAATAGGTGGCATGAAGGTTAAGGAACTGGATCACAGATGGTAGTCTGTGTAGTTCAAGTCCTGGACCCAGTGGCTTGAAAATCAAGCAGGGTGCATGTGCAGGTGCCCAAAATCCAGAGAGGAGACTGAAAGAGAAGTGACTGTAGCACGGCCACCCCTCTGAAGAGTGATTTCTCACTCCTTTGCCCCTCTGTCTCTATCTGGTGAGCTCACGAACCCTATAGCAGGAACTAAACAAAAAAAAAAAATTCTAGAAATAAATAAAAATTTACCAGAGGGGACCTGTACGAGAGAGAGAGAGAGAGAAAGCCCCCCCGCCCCATCTAGCACAGTACACTCAATTCCTTCTCCTTTTTGGATTGGGCATGCACATGGATACAGCTGGTGTTTTTCAAACTGTAGGCCAAAGACTCACACAACTCCACAGTTGGCTATTCAGCCCCTTAGCTGGTTGTACACTTTTGGTTGCCTTCTTTTGGCTCACTGTTTCTCCAAAGAGGGGACTGACATTTGGCACTACTGCAGTCATGCTGACCTACAGAACCATAATTTCAAAACTAGTCTGTCTCTGTTTTGACTTTGCTGAAGATAAGATTTTATTATTATTTTTTAAAAAATTAACTTCAATGCTGACTTAAACGATGTGCTTATTCTCTTCATATTTCTCATTTGTTAAAAAAAGAATCAACATTCGTTATGCAAAGGTCCATGTAATTTATGTCTTTTCTACCTCCTTCCCTCCCGCCGTGGTGTAGGAGCGCGTTCCTGACAGCCCCTCGCCTGCGCCCTCTCTGGAGGAAGGCCGGAGGCCCGGCAGCCACCCGTCCTCCCATCGCAGCAGCAGCGTGTCCAGCTCCCCGGCACGGACTGAAAGCTCTTCAGACAGAATCCGTAGGTCTCATACTTTTTACTTGTCACCATTTTAAACTTTATTAGGTGCAGCTGGCTTTTCTAATCAAAATGCCCCCATTCCAAATAGATCTCAGATGTATCATGTTCTGAAGCTCTGTAGCAATAGCCATCTCTCAAAATTATGTTTCCCGGTTTGCAATATCGTGGGGTATGATACTACATTAACAGGTTCTGATATAAACTCCCTCGCTGGTGCCACACATAAAGATTCAGCTATGAAACGAAAGTAAGTAACCTTCTAAATGGGGTTCCGAAGTAAATGCCGCCCACTCTCAAACACCTAGGATCTAAGTACACTGTTCGCAGATTATTCAACTTCATTCCTTCAGTTCCATCTCTGTCACTTTTGAATTTCACACATTTTAAAACTTGATTCTTGTGTAAGTGAAAATATTCATTAAGAGGAATCGAAGAAATAGAATTCAAAACAACCGGTTTTTTAAGAAATATTTTTAGACATTCAGATCAAAGGATTAAAAATAGGAAATAAACTGAGTTTTAAGATAGCAATCAGACATAATTTATTGTCATTATTATTAAAAATGTAACAGTAGGATTATATTTTATTTCATCACATTTTCAATCTATTAAACCTTTGTCCTCTTGGCCAAGGAATTTAAGAGTAAACCATCATTCAGTCAATGTGGTGATTTTGTGTCTGTACAAGAATCCAAGATTGTTTTTCTAATTAGTGACAGAGTACAGCTTGGTAGATAAAACCAATATTTATTGTATTACTTCCAAATTTTATTATTTTATGAAATCATGTTTATAGTATAAACTTCATGTTTTATACATAATTTATTGGAGTTATTTGGTTATTGAGGATATTTTTGTAATAGGAAAACAACTCCTAAGAAGTGTCTTTAAAGGTCGTAAAGAACATTTTTTTAAAAGAATTATTTTATTTAACATTTATTTATTTTAATTTGACCAGAAAGGGACTAAGTGAGAGAGGGATAAAATGAGAGAGAGAAAGAGAGAGAGAGAGAGTTAGAAAGCAAGCCACCAGGTCCAAGAACTCAAATGATGGTGGGCCACGTGGGAGTCCAACGCACTTAACCACCACGTCATCTGCTGGCCCCAAGATTTTATTTTTTTTTTAAAGTAAAACCTAATCTGGAAATTGTTGAATAAGACAACTTTAAGATTAGACTGACTGGTGTATAATAAAATTCTAATTACAATAGGAAATAATTGTAAATTATATAATTCAATATAATTCTAAATATAAATACTTGATTTGGTCTTCCTACAATATATTTTTCTAATTTTCTAAGACATGCTTATAACTGTTTATTATAACTTGATAACTGTTCTCAAATCAATAATAACTTTTGAGGTTGGCATATTCCAGTTCCTACATAAAAACATATTTCAATTAAAATATTTTCTGTATGCTTTTATACTGTGCTGACACTAGAATCAGAAATTAATGATGAATATTGGTTTTATTTCTCATGCTTATATACGATCATTTCTTTAGAAAAGTGCTATCCTGGGGGCTAGCAGGTGGTGTGGTGGTTGAGAGTGTTGGACTCCCACATGTTTGACTGAGGTTCCAGTGCTGTACCTGGTGGTTTTCTTTCTCTCTCTCTCTCTGTCCCTCTCTGGTCCAATTAAAAATAATTACATAAATGAAGTTAAATAAAATAATTCTTTTTAAAAAAGATGCTATCCTTCCAGAGAAAGAAAAAGTATATTTTTTGTTATACTTAAATGGAAATGATGGTCAGGTTGCGGAGATTTAGAAGAATTTTGTTACACATTTATGTTATTCATGACTGTCATCTTTTTGTTTTTGACAAAAATAGAAAAAAATGTAGTCTGGGACCTATTATAACTATACAAATGGAAACACATACACATGCAAAAACATATATAGCATGCATATTTATGTGCACATATGTATTTTATTGTATTGTGTTATTTTTAAATAACTTTAGGCTAACACAATATTTCAATACAATGTAAATTATTCTTAAACGATCATCACCAAGTTTCATCTAATCTGTCAAACAATCACTCTCGAATAAGGATATCTCTATACAGGTAAAAGGCCGCCTGGTTTCCCTAGATATAATGCTTCTTTACCTCAAATACTTTATTTTCTATAAGAAAGGAATTTCTCTTATAGAATCACAGAACACTGATAAATAAGTTAATGTTATTATAGTACTATTCTCTAAAATATATACTTTATTTAAATTTCATCACAACTAATGTCTTAATAAATAGCAAGATGTTTCTATTTCCTGATTTAAAAGCCAATCTAGGATCACACATTGCAATTAGGTGCCACGTCCCTTTACTCTCCTTTAAACTAGAACTGATTCTCAGTTTTTTCTGTCTTTCGGAACCTCTTCAAGAATACAAGTCGAGAACTAGCAGTTAGCGTAATGGCTATGTCGCTGGACTCCCATGTAGTCGACCGCGGTTCGCGTCCTGGACCCAGTGGCTTAAAACTCACTGGCGCGTGTGCGTGCGTGCCCAAGATCCCAAGAGGAGAAGGGATTGCGGCGTGACCACCCACCCCCCCCGGGGGGTGGTTTCTCACTTTCTGTCTCTATGTCCCTCTCTGTCTGGCGAGCGCAGGCACCCTATAGTGAAGATCTTTCCAAAAAAAAAAAAAAAAAAAAAAAAGAAAACATCAAAAGATTGCAAAGAAATATTAGAATATTAAAACAACACTCTTTGGCCATCAACTAAAAATTAAAAATATAAACAAAAATGAAAAACAAAAAGAATCTTTTCACCTAGAAATAAACAGAAGATATTATATTTCTGTCAGCCATCTTTTGGGTAAGGGGAAATACAACAGAAATTACACAATTGTGAAACCAACTCAGTGAGAAAATTTCATAGCCTTAAATTCCTGTGTGTGTGTGTATTTAATTTCCAGAGGGCATATGCACTCACCAGAGACAGACAGACAAAGAGAGAAAGAAAGCACCCCCAGTGGGGCATGGTTACGCTGCAACCCCTTCTCCTGTCAGGATTTTGGGCACACAAACACATGCCTCAGTATGTTTTTCAACAATTGGTGGCTGAGATTCACACCATGGTTTCTCATGTGAAATATGGCTGACTCCCTTAACCAGTAGGCTACCAGCGGCCTCCTAAGTTCCTATATTATTAAAAACAAATAGGCTAGCAAGTGGCATAGTAGTCAAGATGACTAAATCCCACATGACTGACTATGTGGTTCAAGCCCAGGACCTGGCAGCTTGAAAACACATTGAGCACAAGTGTTTGTGTGCCCAAAATCCTGAAAAGAGAGAAAAATGGAAGAGAAGGGATTACGGTGTGACCATGCCCCATGCAAGGTGTACTTTCTTGCTTTTCTCTGTTTCTCTCTCCAGCAAGTGTGTGTACCCTCTGGAAAAGTGGACAAAAAAAAAAAAAAAAAAAAAAAAAAAAACAAGTCATTTGTTTAGTAGATTGTCACTGACTTTAGATTTTCTGATGTCCCTCACGATTAAAATTAGTTTATGCATTTTTGGCAGGAATCATGTAAGTATGATAGTGTATTCTCAATGAATCATTTCAGGAGGCATATGATATTCCTACAATATTGGTAATCACTTTATCATTGTGATAAAGTGATTACCAATAATAATAGCTTTCTTTTTTTTTTTTTTAACATTTGAGCATAGTAAATATCTTGTGAGTACTTAACTATCTTCAGAATAAGACACTAACTTCAGTGTCTTCAGACTATGTGAGTGATAGTTGCCATGTGATAATTCTCAAAATATTTATATGATATTTTAGAATTTATGAAATAATTCTTCCCTAGATTTTTTTTCACAAAACCAAGATTTTCATTAAGTGAATTTATTGACTGCATTTTTAAAATCACAAGTTTGCTCTTCCACATTATCAATTTCAATAGTGACAGATTGCTGTTACTAAATAATTTTAAAAAGAAAGTAATTATTTTAATCCATTGACCACTTAATAGAAATATTAATTTTATTTTGAATTTTGAATTCAATAATTTTTAAAGAGTTGTTTAACTTTATTTATTTAGCGGAACAGAGGGAGGTGGGAGAGAGAGAGGAAAATTGAGAAAGCAAGTCACCAGGTCTGTGACTTGAACCATAGTTGGCCTTATGGGAGTGCAGTGTTCTCAATCACTATGCCATATGCCGGCCCCAAGTTCAAAAAATTTTTAAAGATATTATTTGGTATCTATTAAATGTATTATATTGACTAAAACAAAATGCAAATGTTGAAACCATAATTCCATGCCTTTGTTTGTGTAAAATTGCAATCTGACCTTTCACACATCTAGAATATAAATTATTAAATTTTTATATTCATAATGTTGAAGAGCACTCTAATATGAAATTGGAGTTCTTGAAAACTTTAGGAAGGCTGTGTACTACAGAGAATTTAATGCATTACATTACTAATTGAATACTTCCATCAATGGTGGTTGATGTGGTATGGCCATTCACAGTTATTTCAGCCACTTATAAAATCTTTTATGTGAAATAACAATAAAGTAAAATAGTGCCATTTTCAAGATTTTCTGCTTATCTTCAAGAATTAGCATGATTTTTCATTTTCACAGTTTTTAGGGATAGGTTATAATTTTAAATTTTGATTATAATTTTAAAGTTAGACCATTATAGCTTATTTAGTGTTGAGCCTAGAAGGGTTTAACTGATTTGTTTTATTGAACCTTGTGTATTATGGTGTTTCTGTGTTTGTTCTTTTGTTTCTGCCTGAACAGCTGTCCATCAGAATGGCTTGTCCATGAACCAGATGCTGATGGGTTTATCACCCAATGTACTCCCTGGACCCAAAGAGGGAGACCTGGCTGGTCATGATATGGGACATGAGTCAAAAAGGATCCATATTGAAAAAGGTAAGATATTATGATGTGGCTTTGCTTTTCCTATTCAATATATGAATTAAATTTTAAGCAAAGGCTAAGGTATATTTCTACATCATGTCAAATGATAGTATATTAACATTTAAAAACCCTACAATGCTAAATAGAAATTAGGGCTATTCAACAGAAGAGAAGTATGAATAAAGACCTGCTCCTTTTCTCTTATATAACAACAGGTAAGTGACAATATAATCCTAGTATATTTTTCAAAGAGGAGAATTGTTTGTTCTGATTGTTATCTCTGAGTTACTGAAGTCTGTTATTTGTCTTTCTCAATGCCTTCAGGGTTACTGTCATTTTACTTAGCATTATGGAACAACAACAATATACAAAGGATTATTATCAGCCTTTTGAGATTAAAGATATGTGGTCATTGGACTAATAAGGAAATAGAAGTGAATCTTATCAGTCAATGTTCTACTAGTTGTTTCAGAAGTATGTGTTAGAACAACAAAACCCAGGTAGTACAAAACTGGAAGAGTTTTCTATTAATTTGTTAGTATCAACTAGCCCATTTTCCCAGGAAAATATGTGTTTTTTTGTATCCTAAGTTATGAAGTGATTTCATGAGGAATTTGAAATATTGTTTTATTTTACATGCTAGAAATATATGCTGACAGACATAAATACAGGTTTTCAAATGATAAGTTTTGAATTGTGACCATAGAAATCTCTTCACCTCTTTTTCATATTAACTTAAACTTTTAAAACTTGTTAACTATGGACTGCATGCTATGCTTATATTTTCAACGTCAATATTGAATAATCAGAAAAAAGATTATTTCTTTGGAAAAGATACTTACACAAAGGATATAACTAATCAACTCTCAAAAAGGAAAATAAACATAATTAGGTATTTAAATAATTAACCAAACAGAAATGTGTTTCCCCCAGAAAAAGATTATTTACAAAAAATAAAAATTCTTACATGAAACATTTTTCCCACTCAACATGAAAATAGCTCTGTTTTAGGTAGAAAAAGTACAGTATTTATGCAAAGTAGATTATCTGCACAATGGAATGTCAGTGAAAAGAAGGACAATCCTTCCTAGTCACTAATAGGTTAAAATCTAGGCATAATTTAGAAATAGCAACATTAAGTAATTTTCTAATTACCTATTTTGGAATTTAACATCAAGTTTTATTGCTAAGTGGATTCTTTATAGTGCATCACTCTTCCAAATGGTTTCTGAATTTCTGATTTAAATTTTTCTATAAAATTTTTTCATTAATGAAGAAAAATATGTTATATAAAGATATTTGCACATTATATGTATTTTTTTGAGAGTTAGTTTTTGCTGTAGGGCGTGTGCGCTTGCCAGAAAGACAGAGAGAGACAGAGAGATAGAAAGTGAGAAATCATCCCCCAGGGGGGATAGCCACGCTGTAATCCCTTCTTCTCCATTCTCCTCTAGGGATCTTGGGCATGCACACATACGCGCCTGGTGTGAGTTTAAGTCACCAGGTCTGAGACTCGCACCACGGTCGGCTACATGGGAGTCCAGCAACCTAGCCATTATGCTAACTGCTGGTCCCACATATTATATGTATTTTTTGACATTTACTTTTTTTTTGTTTGTTTTGAGAGGTTTTTGCTATAGGACACATGTACTTGCCAGAAAGACAGAGAGAGAGAGACACAGAAAGTGAGAAATCACTCCCCAGGTGGGAGGCCATGCCACAATCCCTTCTCCTCCATTCTCCTCTCAGGATCTTGGGCACACACATACATGAGCCTGTCATGAGTTTAAGCCACCAGGTCTGGGACTCGAACTGCGGTCGACTACATGGGAATCCAGTGATATAGCCATTACACCAACTGCTTCCCTTGACATTTACTTTTAATATTTAATCAAAAACCCATTCTGAGCTATATTATGAAGGGTGGAATGGATTAAAGTCTAAAATTTCATGGGAAGATTCAAGGTTTGAGTAATAACATGTTAAGCGGAAGAATTAACTGTGTAGATTCAGCAGCCATTTTCCATAAGAACTCAGCAAAAAAATAAAGCACTGTAGAAAATTACTCGAGTTATATTTTCCCAAGGATAGTATTTAGTTGGTTTAACTCGAGTTGCGTAAGAGAGAGGCTAATGCACATACATAATGAAGTCAAGATATTAGAGCGTAATTTTCTTTTAGAACTCTGGTGGAGAAGGACTGCGAGTAAATGCAAAAGTTCAGATACGGTAGAGAAGAGAACACACTACACTGTCACTGAAATAATGAATCCCACTGGGATTTTTGGTGGAGACCTTTGGATTATCTGTACCCATGCTCTTCAAATTGAGTTGACCTATAATTTTTCACAACTGTTTCTTTCTTATAATCCTTGAGTTCAATTTATCTATCTATATCTAGCTATGTAGCTAGCTGTCTATCTACTTATTGTTCTGTCAGCATGAAGCATTTAAAAAAAAGTAATATGCTAGATGAATCAAGGTACCTATTGGGCCTGTTATTTGGGCATTATTTCTTCATTATGTGTCTTCCATTACAAACTGTAAACTCCTTGGACTCATCTGTGTACTCTATTTGCTTTAAGCAGATAGACAATCTTTAAGTGCATACTGATCTGTACTGAATTACTGGAAGAATCTGAGACAGAGAAAGAGAGTTAATGTAATTGTGAAGATTACATTCATTAAGGATTAACAGCAAGGCAAATGGTGGAATTATTTGACCTTTACAGAGTAGATTTATATGAAACATAGTAGAACATTTTGACCATGAATATACATGAAAACTTACTATATCGCTAATGGTACTTCTTAACACATTTTCTAAATGGTTTTGCTGTCAGAACAAAGACCTTCACTGTATCCCAACAATATCCCAACGTTTTAACATGTATTTTATAAAGGAAAATAAACTGTTAACATTCCCCCTAGAAATGTGAAACTGCTATTGATGTAGATCTGTAATCATGGAAAGTTTGATAGATTTTGCTACCATTATGGTGTTTTCTTATATCATGCCCTTTTTCTTGCATTCATGTTCTCTCTTTTATCTACTTTTAAGCATACTGAATGAATAGTAAATATTCATGGGCCTTCTAGATTGATAGAGTCTACTAAATTAAAAATTGTTTTCTTTCATGACTGCATTTATCATGTGTCTCATAATAGCCCTGTAACTTCTTACTACTCATATCTGTATTAAACAAGTGACTTCACTTAGAGACATTTGTAGAGAAATTAATTATATGTTTGTGTCATTTTAGGCTTGAACTTCTTATACGTAATTTTCTGCCTACCAACTAAATCATTCAAAAATGACAATTTTTAAGAAAATATTGATACTAAAAATAGATACTAAAATGCATTTATATGCTGAGAAATCTCTGTGGCTTCTGTCTTAATCACCAGTAACTTTTACACTTTTACACATTTTATATTCTTCCTTTTACAGTTTATTTTACTTATGATAGAGTATGCTTACATGTGAGAGAGGAAGAGAGAGAGGGAAGCATCATTGGGAAGGTCTTGTAACACCATGGTTCGCTTTCCCTAGCCCTCGAGCTCCTCAAGACCTTGGGCATGCACATGCCTGATGCATTTGCAGGCCCACTGGGCAGGGGTTCTGAATCCGAAGATGGCCAGCTGACTTCCAGCACTGCACTGACTGTACCCCCAAGCTGGAGCCATTTTACATTCTTTTAAATATTAAATAGATATGGGATCCATTCTGTTGAACAACAACAACAACAAAATTGTCATCATCAGCTGTACAACCAGTAGCTTTACAACATTGGAGTTCAAAATATCAACTGCTAAGTAAATTTCCTCTTTCGAATTTTTATAAAGAACATTGTTAAAGGGCTTTAAGCCTAGGGAGAGTTTAATTACAAGATATTATAAATATAAATATAAAAAATGAGTTGTTTTTTGAAGAAGTAATAGACATACAGTATAACTGCAGTCAAGCACAAGAAGAAATGCTTTTAAGATGATATACTTTGAGACCAGAAAGTTGTGTGGTGGTTAAGGCACAGGACTCCCACATGGCTGACTGTGGTTTGAGTCCCGGACCTGGCAACTTGCTTTCTCACTTTGCCTCCCTCTGCCTCTCTCTGGTGAGTGCACATGCCTTATAGCAAATTAAAAAAATAATAATAAAATGAAATAAATAATTATTCAAACAAGATTATAAGTTGTAATTCAATTCAAGAGTTTTTCAAAGATATGTGTGCTGGTGCCAACTCTGGTACAACACATAGTGTGGCTTAAAAATGATCTTATGTCTGGGACCAGCAGTAGGGATAATGGCTATGTCACTGGACTCCTACGTAGGCTACCACGGTCTAAGCCTGGACTCGGTGGCTTAAACTCACGCTGGGCGCGTGTGTGTGTGTGCCCAAGATCCCGAGAGGAGAATGGAGGAGAAGGGATTGCGGCGTGACCATCCCCCCTGGGGGGTGATTTCTCGCTTTTTGTCTCTCCATCTCTCTCTGTCTGTCTGGTGAGCGCACGCGCCCTATAGCAAAAACCTCTCCAAAAAAAAAAAGGAAAAATAGAATGATCTTATGCCTTTTAACTTTGCCAAACGTTCTGGGTTCTGTAGGGCTTTGGGGTTTATAAAACATTGCTGATATTTGCCTTAGTCTAAATATAGTGAAGTAGGCAATAATAATTGATACTTGACTTAGATTAGTAGACTGATTGTTTCTTAATGCTGTACTTTTTGGTTTATCCCCAATACACTGGTGTATTGATGGTTATTTTACACTGTTTCCTTCTTGCACAGTTTATTTTAGGTTTTCCCTAAATTTCTGCCACTTTCAACATGTTTGAGGGCTTAGTCTGTAATTTAGTATCACTCTTTTTAAATTATGAAATTGATTCAATTTTACTTACTGAAAGTTTATTCAATGTTATATGCTAGTGCTTCTTATAATTATAAAAAATATAAACATTTATTGTTAGGATTACTGTTGAAATACTCAATTCATATTAGTGTATTTCAGTCTTGGA